ACGTCTCCCCTCCTGGAGACTTCCAACAGGCCATCCCCGCCGGCCCTTCCCTGGGAAAGTGAAGCTATTAGAAGAGAATGATCTCATTTCCCTACTACCGACTACAGCAGGCTGTCTGCCTTTACTCCCACTCACTGCAAGGACCTCGAGGCTACAGGCTTTTGTCTTGTTTTGGTCACTGCTTTATCCCCAGTACTCAAAATGGCGCTTTGTAATAATACCTACGGAATAAATATTTGAATAAATGAGTCAAAGCACCGCCTTCCCTTTTGACACATGAACTGGAACTGACCATGTGCCTGTTGAGACTATGTGCCTGTTGAGACTATGTGCATGTGCCTGTTGAGACTCCCTGTCAGGAGTCCCAGCTCTCGCTTCTCGTCTGCCTGCTCAGATTGCACTCCTACAATAACCCACTCCTACTACACGCATCTGTCCCCTTCTGATGCAATATTCCAGTCGGTATATGTGCATGCTCTTATCTCCTTACACGTTAAAACCTTTCCTTAGCTCAGCTATTCCATGTATCCCTCCGTATACATGAAAACTCAAGTTGTCCATTTGCTGACTCTACTTCAATCCCTTTCTCTCCAGTCCAGTCCTTTATCCCCTAAACTTGCGTTCTGTTAAACTTAACAATCCGCCAGTCTCACGGTTAATTCACCATCCTCTTCTTACTGGACAGAACTTGAAATCACTCTTCTGGAAACTTCCTTCATTTTTGTTTCTTTTTTTAAAATATATTTTTATTGATTTCAGAGAGGGAGAGAAACATCAATGAGAATCATTGATTGGCTGCCTCAGGGATCAAGCCCACAACCTGGGCATGTGCCCTGACTGGGAATCGAACCTGTGACCTCCTGGTTCATAGGTTGATACTCAACCACTGAGCCACACCGGGCTGGGCTCACTTTTGTTTCTAATGTGCCACATTTTTCTGGCTTGCCTCCCTGAGAGATCTCAAAGTCTCCTTGGCTGGCTCCTTCCTGCTTTATTTTTAAATATATTTTTATTGATTTCAAGAGGAAGGGAGAGGGAGAGATAGAAACATCAATGATGAGAAAGAATTATTGATTGGCTGCCTCCTGCATGCCCCACACTGGGGATTGAGCCTGCAACCCAGGCATGTACCCTGACCAGGAATTGAACCGTGCACTCCTGGTTCACAGGTCGATGCTCAACCAGAGCCACGCTGGCTGGGCCCCTCCCCATTTTAAATGCTGTAGTACCACAAGCCCCCTTCACCCCCTTTCTGGGTCTACATGGTTGCTGCTCAACATGTGGGTCCCTGCACCAGCAGCATCAGCTCACTGAGGGGCTGTGAGAAGTATAGCATCTCAGGCCCCATGCCAGACCTCCTGAATCAATCTGCAGTTAAAAAACAGGTGACTCATAGGCATATTAAAATTTGAGAAGCACTACTCTACTTGCAGGAGTGATTTCAGTCACATGACTAAACTCCTTTCACAGGCTAACTCAGAAATGCTTATCTTCTGTCCCTGCCCCCAACATCAGCCCCCAACTCCATGGGCCAGAGTCCTCCTGATGGCTGTACCTTCCCAACACAGGCAGAACCCTACCACTCAGCACTCCCACCACCCTAGTCTAAGTCAGCAATATTTTTGGTGCAAGACTTGAGTCTCCAGAATCTCTTTTCACCAGGCTACCTACAATAAATTTTCTATGTTGTATCCAGAGTGATCTTTAAAGAACATGGACGCTTTCCCAATTTCCTACCCTGGCTTCCAAGAGCCAACATCTCCTAGCCCCTCCCACAGTCAGATGCTCGTCCTACTCCTCCCTCCCCTAAATCTTTGTCTGCCTTACTTCCCAATTTCTTTCTGTGCTGGGCTTCCCTCTCAGCACCGACAGTTCCCTGACATGATAGACATCTGGCTCTCCCACCAGGATGTACGGTCCACGAGCAGGGACCTTTTCCTCTTTGACACCACCACTGCTCGGTGTCTAGCACACAAGCATCGAGCATTGAGGCTTCAGGTGTTGTTGGTGGAACTGTTGGGGGCAGGGACAATTCTTTGTATGTACCAGCAAGTATGCTTGTCACACAAAAATCTGGATGTAGAGAACCCACCAGCAGTCTTCAATAGGTTCAAATTTCCAAAATATGACAGCTGGTTCTACAACATTTCTGTACATTAGAAGCATCTGGGGACATTTTTAAAATTCCAATACTTAAGCCACATTTTAAATGAATTAAATCACAATTGCTGGGAGTGGGACACAGGTACCAGTATGTTTTGAAGCTCTCAAGGTAATTCCATTGTGAGTTAAGTTTGGGAACCACTAGTACATGGTATGCATTGGTAAGCATGACGTAAGATCTAAAATCTAGCCCGGTCGGTGTGGCTCAGTGGTTGAGCGTGGACCTATGATCCAGGAGGTCATGATTCGATTCCCGGTCAGGGCACATGCCCAGGTTGTGGGCTCGATCCCCAGTGTGGGGCGTGTAGGAAGCAGCCAATCAGTGATTCTCTCATTGCTGTTTCTATTTCTTTCTCCCTCTCCTTTCCTCTCTCTGGATATTTCTATCTCTTTCTCACTCTCCTTTCCTCTCTCTGAAATCAATAAAAAAAAAAAAAATCATATTTTTAAAAAAGATATGAAATATATAATACATTAAAAAAATGCCAGTCATAATGTTATGCAAACTTAAGACTTCTATTCATCTCTTTCTCACTCTCCTTTCCTCTCTCTGAAATCAATAAAAAAAATAAAAATCATATTTTTAAAAAAGATATGAAATATGTAATACATTTAAAAAATCCCAGTCATAATGTTATGCAAACTTAAGACTTCTATTCCTTTTAGGTATAGAAAACAAAAAGAAATTCATGAAAATACAACTGTTTCAAACGTTAGGTCTTCAGGAGAGCACATCTTTCAGGATTTCCTACATTTGTTTTCCTGTCAAGACTAATCCAAACTTGGGCACTTCTATTTGGAAGTTTATTATTTACTGATATGCCTAATCAAATTTATGTATTAAAAAGTGTTGATTGACCTAGCCGGTTTGGCTCACTGGCTAAAGCATTGGCCTGCGGACTGAAGGGTCCTGGGTTCGATTCCGGTCAAGGACACGTGTCCAGGTTGCAGGCTCAATCCCCAGTAGGGGGCATGCAGGAGGCAGCTGATCAATGAATGATTCTCTCACATCATTGATGTTTCTATCTCTCTCTCCCTCTCTGAAATCAATAAAAATGTATTCCTTTTAAAAAGAAAGAAAGAAAAAGTGTTGAATCCTGTGTTAAGTCACATTTAAAAGCTTTTGGGGGCTTTGCACATACTCATATTTTTAATGGCATCAGGTAAATAGCTCTATCCTGGTAACAAGGATGTAATTATTAAGACAAAATGCTATATTCTCGAGAGAGGAAAGGATTTTAAAACTCAACAAGTTACAATAAAATCAAATCTTAATCATACTAATATTTCTTGTTCAGGAAGTAATATAATGAACTCTAGTCATCAATCAATATCCTTAGGACAGAAGTTAAATAAAATATTGTGCATGTACCTGTCTCTAAGCTTGCCTTTAAAGTGTCTTCAGAAAAAGGAGGACCTATATATTACTTTCAACAATAAAGATTAGAGAAAAAAAAAGAAAAATAATAAAGTGTCTTCATACCTCAAAACGAAGGACAAAATTAATAGAAGAGAAAAACAAGTCATGTGATTATTAAAATCCTCACTACAGTGAAAATACTGAAGATTTCCAAAGAACCTTGGGGATGTTTAAGCCAACCTCCTATTACGTGCACACGAATAACCTGACACCCAGCTGAGGTGGAAGGACATGCCTAAAAGTCACACAGGAGAGCTAGAAGAGAAAAAAAACAATTTTTTTTCCAAACAAGCAGACAGAATTTTTCACGTTAATCAAAAAAAATATCAAGATCATCAGATTAGGAATGAGGAATAAAAAGTATGTTAAACATAAATATAAGCACTAGTCAATCTGCTGCCCCCTGCCACCCCCCAAAAAATTCTCTGAATATATGGACATACATCCCTTACCCTTAAAATATTAGGATTTTGGAAAATTCTGTTTACAAACACATTATTAATTGCATTGTTATAATTAGCTAATTAAATGTGAAGGCATCAACAGCACCAATACCAGAAAGTTAAGAAAGTAAATGCACTGTTACTTAAAATAATATATAATCACTGATTGGGACAGCAATGAACTATAGCCACTAGCAAAACTATTTAAGCTACTGTTTGACATGAAGGCAATATTTAAAGACTAGTATATGCCCTTTGCCCAGCGAGAGGCCTGGGTCTAGGCTTCCCAACGGTGGGTCAACGTAGAAAATATTAAATAGGATGGATTTTTTTTTCATTGCTCAACCTTGAACCATACTACATAACCCCAATTTTGCCAAAATAAGTCAGTGACAGCATGTTTGGTATTCTAACCACTCTTACCGGTCCCAATTAAAACAAAACAAAACACAAGTCCCTTATTAAGCATTAGATTGGATGTGTCTAAGCAGCAGCAGCAAGGCATTTACAAATGGGCTTCTAACAGTGTATCAAAATGCTACTAATGAAAAGACAGCAGCAAATGCTCTAATAAGAGCACATTATTCCACATGGAATCCCAAGTTACCATCTCTAATTCCTTAAATCCTAGGAAGACTAGAGATGAACAAGTGTATGTGTAAACGGGGCCAGGGAGAAAGCTCTAAATGGTACATAGTGCTCATATTTAAATCACCCACGATAACTGTAATGCTTGCAGAGAACTCCAACTATTATCTAACATTTTTTAAGCACGCAGAACTTAAAAAATGCCAGCAAAACTTTGGTGTTAGCCCAAAACATAGAATCACATTTTAAGTGAAAGTGAAATAGGCATGGGTTGCGCAGTTTTCCTAATGGTCACCCCACCCTCTCCCTCTTCCCTGCTCCTTTCATCAGTGATCTACAGACTACCTGGTTCAAAATATTTGGTAATTCAGTGCAGAAAAGTAAGGTCACAGACAAAGTACAACAACTTTTAATACATCATTAATACTAATGATTAAAAATTATTGCATAGTCTTATGCATTTACCCTAAAACATTTTCTGAAAGTAAATTCTGAAAGAATTATATAAAAGACAAATAACCCTTTAAAACGTGGATGGCCTTTACTACCTCGATCTTCTATCCTTTTTTGTCTTTTCAGTACTTTTGTCCATTGTTTTCTCATTATCTCCCCTGCACTTTGGGCAATACCATTTCCCCTTTGGTTTGTAGGTAAGTGAAACACATGAAAAGTGAAACCACTCAATTGGACACTGTTCATTATCACAGCCGATCATCTCCCCATAAGACACTTGGTTACATAAACAGTATGTAGGTTCATTGGGATCTATTGCAAACTCCACAGGTGACGTTTCCCTTTCCTGCTTGGCCTTGGAGCGTTTCTTTTTCTTGGCGGACTTGGATTTCTTTTCTTTTGGTGGCTGATCATCACAGTCTTCAATGCCATTAGTCATGTGACATAAATCACGGCTCTCACTGGTTCGCTGTCTTCTGGGTCTCCTTGAAGATCTTTCTGGTTGGCTGGCATCTATCTTTGCTTTATCTGAGACTCGTTCACTTTCAGCAGGATCCTGAAAACACTGTGAATGAAGCTCCATTTGCCTTGCCCGATTTTCCACCAATTCAAGCATTTGTGTGACAATCTGAATTTTTTCATCCCCCAATTCTTGACTATTGATTAATGCTCTCTGGAGATGCTGCTGTAGGCGTTTTTTCTGGTTTGAATCATCTTCTTTCTTATATTTTTCATAGACATCATCAATTTCCTTTAATGTTTCTAAAAAAGAAAAGGAAAAATCAGGTTATTGTGTATTAGCACATACAGCATTTTTCAAGTTAGTTATCTTTCACAGAATTGGAAAAGTTAGAATGAACTCAAACCATAAGACCACACTCTTTTTTAGTATGTGTACATTAAAAATACATTATTTCCCATACAAAGACCATATGTTATCAAATATAAAAGTATATTTAGAAATAAACTAATAAAAAAGAGAACACAAAACTCTAATATTCATTAATCAATATTAAAAACAAAATGTGCCCTAGCCAGTCTGGTTCAGTGGATAGAGCGTCGGCCTGTGGACTGAAGGGTCCCAGGTTCGATTCCTGTCAAGGGCACATGCCCAGGTTGCAGGCTTGATCCCCAGTGGGGAGTGTGCAGAAGGCAGCCAATCAGTGATTCTCTCTCATCATTGATGTTTCTATCTCTGTCTCCCTCTCCCTTCCTCTCTGAAATCAATAAAAATATATATTTTAAAAAATGTGTGGCTACCTAATAATCAAAAGTATTTTATGTGGCCTGGCCAGTTAGAGTGTCGGCCTGAGGGCCCAAGGATCGCAGGTTCGATTCCCGGTCAAGGGTACCTCGGTTGCAGGTTCCCCAGCACCAGTAGGGACAAATGTGGGAGGCAATCAATCTACATGTCTCTCTCACGTCAATGTTTTTCTCACACCAGTTCTCAATCTCTCTCTCTCTCTCTCTCTCCTCCCTTCCACACACTCTAGGAATCAGTGGAAAAAATATCCACGAACAAGAATTTTTTTAAAAAAGTATTTTGTGTGGTCAGGTTCACTGTATACCACTTTACAGTTTACCTACTGCCATATTGTCTACACTTCATTTGAATCTCAAAAAAATCCTGTATATAAAATTTACAGGCCAGACTCTAGCTGTAAAACTTAAAGAAATTCAAGGACTATGCTAGGGATCAATGGAAAAAATATCCACGAACAAGAATTTTTTTAAAAAAGTATTTTGTGTGGTCAGGTTCACTGTATACCACTTTACAGTTTACCTACTGCCATATTGTCTACACTTCATTTGAATCTCAAAAAAATCCTGTATATAAAATTTACAGGCCAGACTCTAGCTGTAAAACTTAAAGAAATTCAAGGACTATGCTGCAGATTACTGTCCAATTGCATTTGCAGGATTTACAGTTCAATCAATGACATGCATGACCCCAGAGAGACACTACACCTTTAATTTCCTATCAGACCCCTGGACTTCCTTAAAGCAGACAGAAGTAGCTCTTAGCTTCCCATCATATTAGTTTTAATGGCTCATTTGTTTTGCCACAAGAGATAATTCTGAAACCTAAACTATTTCCAGAGTAGGTTTAGGTTCATGTTCTGGCATCAACTGACTAAGCTACTAACAGAATTACAGTAAAGTCAGCATTGGATCACTATATTTTTGTAGATAACTCAGCAGTTGGTTCTAAGTAAGCTTTTTTGAATTGCTGATTTAGTTATTGTATAGCACCTGGAACACATTCAATCAATTAAAAATAGCTGAGTCACACAAAAAATATAGCACCAGATATCACCAAAATTTGCATAAGATTAGTTTTTATTCAAATCTGTTGTTTTTTTTAATCCTTATGAGATTTAACACTATTTGAAAGAGTTCTGTCTTAGTAAAGATGGAGAAACAAAAAATTAACTCTAATTTATCATACCACATACACATAGCAGATCACTGTTTTAGATCCCAATATTATTATTCTAATGATAAGAACAGAAATATTAGATGAGTAAAATACATACAGTGGGGCTGTCTGCAAGTAAGGTAATACAAAGCAAGAAGCTACTCTCTGAAAATTGTAGGTACTCACAATTGAGGGGCAACTCTTTAACCTCAGATATATGACAAAGTGGCACTACACATCTGAGGTACTCACACCTGCATAGCATTCTTTTAAACAAAGGTCTTATCTAGCCCATTTGCCCAGGTAGGTATGTAAGTAGATTTCTTAAGAACTTAATTTTCCTCCAGGAAAAATAAGGAAGTTATATATTTTCCTGTACACGCCCCCCCCACCTCAAAAACACACAAAATTTGAAGGTTAAAAATAAAGGGGAGCTCTAACCAGTTTGGCTCAGCTGATAGATCTACGGCCTGTGGACTGAAGGGTCCTGGGGTTCAATTCCGGTCAAGGGCACATGGCCGGTTGTGGACTTGATCCCCGGAAGGGGGTGTGCAAGAGGCAGCCGATCAATGATTCTCTCTCATCATTGATGTTTCTATATCTCTCTCCCTCTCCCTTCCTATCTGAAATCAATAAAAATATATTAAAAAATAAAATAAAGGGGAACCTTATTTCAAATATTCTTTATCTAATAATCTAATAATCAGAGCTTAGAAGCTAATTATAGCATACCAACACATAGAGCTATACATGAGATAAAAATTCTCATTTTTAAGACACCTTAATTATGAAGTGAAAGAAACTAATACCGAGACACGTCTATGTGATAAAGATTTTCTCATTTAATCCCCACAGCACCCCATGAGGAAGCCATCACTTCCATACGTAGAGAAAATGAAGCTCAAGAGACAACCCCAGACTTTTTTCATTGATTTTTAGGGAGAGTGGAAAAGAGAGGGAAAGACAGAGAGAAACATCTATGTGAGAGAAATACATCGATTGGTTGCCTCTTGCATGAGCCATGACTGTGGCCCCGGGTCAGGGAGGAGCCTGCAACCAAGGTATGTGCCCTTGACCTGAATTGAACCAGGGACCCTTTGGTCCTCAGGCCAGTGCTCTATCCACTGAGCCAAACCAGGTAGGGCAACAACCCCAGACTTTTAAATCTTCCAGATCTGTATGTCTGGCTTCACCACGTAAGCATTTTCTCCTACGTTGAAAGGAAGACACTGAAATTAAGTATTAAATTTTAGCTCAAAGGTTATTTACCCAGGAAATTATGAACAAAAATACTGGAACAAAAATTGAGGTTCTCTAACAATCAAATCCCATAATAAATACTTCATTATCATAATATTTTCTTCATTTCTCTATTTTTAACTTTTTATGGTTACTTTTAAGGTTCCTGAGTAATTTCTAATAAAGTATCTCAAATAGGAAATTTCTTTGACTGCTTACATAATTTGTATCACTAAATATTCCAGTATTAGATCCAGATTCGGAAAATACTTGAAAACTAGCAAATAAATTTTAAAAAACACCAAAGTATTTAAGGTTAATATATGTAAAACAGAAAGCTTAACTCAGCACGCACAAGCAGAGTGAAAACTAAATCATTTTATTTATTTAAAATATATTTTTATTGATTTCGGAGAGGAAGGGAGAGAGAGAGAGAGAAACACAAATGATGAGAGAGAACCATTGATCGGTGGGACACTTCAGTTCTCAGGCTGACACTCCATCCACCGAGCCAAACTGGCTAGGGCAAAACCAGATCGTTTTTATATTAACCTTGGAACTAATAACAATCTTAACACAGCTGAAATTTTTTATGATCTCTCAATCATTTAAGGCCTTATACTGTTTCTCATGTTAACAGAGCTACTTCTGACAATTCTAGATGGTCAAAATGAAAGATTTCCCTGTAACAAATTGTCCCTCCCCAATTAAAATGAAAAGAAATAGCTTCACTTTTGTGAAGGCAAATATAGGTATGTGTTTTTATAGAGATGTGAAAACCTTTACTAACTTCAGTGTTATCGGAAAAATTAAAAATGCTGAATATACAATTCTTAAGCATGTATGTATCATTTTTAGGTTACAATGTATATACTGTGTGTGTATGTGCTCCAAGTCTGTAAAAAAAAAAAAAACCTTTGGAGAGTTTTTCTTTGAAAAAAAAAATAAAAATAGTTCAAAAGCAAGCCTGGCACCCAAAGTAGCCAGGCTGTGGAGTCAAACACTCCCCACCTAATTGAACAAGTTACTTAAACTCCCTGTACATTTTAATTTATCCGTAAATTTTCACTTCATAAGGTTACTATGAGGATTAAATGAGATAATGTTCTAGACTTGACACAGCATATGACACACTGTAAGTAATCAGCATTAATTCTCCTCCCCTAACATGGACCAGTCCTATCAACTGTGGGTTCAGAAGACAGAAGTAAATTATAGTTTCAAAACAGAGACATTTAAGTATCTTAACATGCTAAGGGCCTGAAAATGCCGCCCCAGAAGTGGGTTCCTTAGAGACTAAATCATTAGATTTACGACGTGTCTAGAAAAACAGGGAACGGGCCCAAGAAGTTCTCTCTTTAGTGTCCGCATAGCTGTTGTGTCCACGTTATGTCCCAGGTCTGCGCCCCGACCCGGGGTTGCTAACAGCACAGCGGCCCCCGGTAGACCCCTCCCTCCGCGGGCAGGCGAAGGGCCCCTAACAGTGGGCGGCCAGCGACACTCTCCGTAGAAAGCTGACTCGTCCCAGCGCCGTGGGGACTCACACCAAGGGCGCCTTTCGCCTCCTCACTTAAACTTGGCGGAGGAGGGAGGGGTTAAGGGACGCCAGGCGGTTGCCCGGTCAACCACCCACTTCCTCCTGAGACCCGGAAGTGAGACGAGAACCGGAACCTACGCAGGGCCAGGGTCGGGGACGCTCCCGGGAGCTGACCGTCCTCGTCACAACTGAATGGTTGGGAAAGAGCCGGAAAATGACAGCAGACCTGTCCCCCACACTAACAGTGACTCTGCTGCGGACGAACTGACGTCCCGCACGCCCGCCAGCCGGCTCCGCCCCAGCCTCCCCGCAG